ATGCATGCATGTCGTGAGGGGTCTGCGGTTTCTCATGCCAAAATCTTTTCCGACTAGAGGATCATGCAAATACAGAGTAGCAATTGGACTGGGTTAAGTTTTGACAAATCTTGACAATTGAATATTTCCCTTTGGAGTCTCGGTAATTGACTTGGCACATGTTCATACAAGAAAAAATATTCAATAATTAAGCCTCCATGGTGTAACAATTTAAAAGAGTTTTGCATTATGCATCGGCTACACTAAGTTTTAACTGATCTCTAGACTCCCTGATTAGTGGCTCCTAATCTTTATTTCTAGCTGAAAGGATCAATATGGTCAACAAGAATGGGAGGTTAAATTGGCGACTAACAGTTTTTAACTTTGTTTGTAAATTTTAGGCTTAACAATAAAATAGGTTGTCTAGATATGCAACTAGATGAACAACCTATATGACACGCACAACGACAACAAGATAATAAACTTACATAAAGTAAAGGTAAGAAGTAACCGCAAGTGGAGACGAGGTTGTGTTTCCGATTTCCCTCCTTTGGGGGAGATACATCTCTGTTGGAGGAACGATGCTCCCCAAATAACCACAATGGCTCACCTTACTCTCCTCATACCCTCGCACAATGCACAGTGTCGTGAATCCACTAGCGGTACCCTCGCGGCAACCGGGACATTTACAAACAAGGTTGGGGCTATCTCCATAACTTAACTGGAGGTTCCCAACACCATCACAAGGCTTCACCATAATGGAATGTGGCTTCGCGGTGACCTCTTCCATCTATGGTGCCCAAACACCCACGAGTAAGAAGTTGATGAAGATGAAAGAGTCAGGGGAACACAAATCAGTTTGGTAGGAATGTAGATCGGATGTATCTCCTCCAATACCCAAAGTATTAGATATTTTGGGTGGGTAGGGATGGACATATTAAGCTTTTATGGTTTGGCAATGGTGGGGGGGAGCCTGAGTGAATATTGGGTATGGGGTGGAAGAATGGGATATAAATACCCTTAAGATGCAGAGTGATTGTTGCCCAATGGACAACTCTAGGCACCCAGGCCAAAGAGGTACGGGAACCCCGACCATACAGAGAAACGGCAGTTCCGTACGGGCACCTAGGGGTCCAAGGGTCCGGGCACCTGGGCCGACCAGCGGCTGGCCACCATGGCGCTCTGGGCACCCGGGGCTCTCGGACCCCGGGCACCCAGACTAACCCGAGAGATACCCATATCTACGGGCACCCAAGGGTCCAAGGACTCCAGGAACCCGGACCATCCTGAAGCGTATGGGGCTCTCTGGTGCCTTCGGGCACCCGGACGTCTATAAGTAGTCACTAAGAATCCTTTAAAACATCCTTCAGAGAGTGAAATATTTGGGGAAGTATCATGAGTGGAATTTGATTGAGTTCCCCAACTCCCTAATCTCCGCAACCCCTTTTAATAGTATGGATGTTCTTATGACTCAAAAAGTAACCAAAAAACTTTCCGATCCACTAAAGAACACCATCTTTTGCCTTTTTGAATAGATAGGGTAACTGAAGTCTGTAGACCAATGAAAGAGACCATTGTCCTGAGATAAACTTGACAGCCAACATTAGTTCTTGCCAATCGTATTGTAATCAACACAAAATTCGTAATTGAATGACAATTGCACTTTCACTAGCCTATGATATGACCATTTTGAATCATTATTTCCTACTTTAATTTACCTTATTTCAATGTTTTATTTCACAATATGGTGCAATTCTAATGTCTTTTCTCTCGAGGCCCCACCAGCCAGCCATAAGGGTAGGTGGCGCGGCCACCCCCTGGCCACGCCACGTGAGCTTGTGGGCTCCTAGTGGGTCCCCTTCCGAAGTCCTTTGGCCATAAAATCCTAATTAACCTGGAAAAAAATCAAAAGAGGAGTTTCGGGACTTTTCGCCCCTGGTGGGTGTTAGTGCCTGCTCCGCTGGTGCCACAGATGCACATGCCCAAATCTAAGGCATGTGCTGCCTGCCACGAGAGGCGGCGGGCTAGGGAGAGGGAAGCGGCGTTGGAGGCGACCGCACAGTCCTTCCATTGCCGTTGCGGGATGCCGGTGGTGCCTGATGAGGACAAACGGCTCCTTGTGGCTGCCTACCGCCACTCACTTATGACGGCAAAGACGAACGCTCGCCAGCTCCGTCGAAAAAACACGAAGGTGCTCCGGCTAAGTCTGGAGCAGTCGGCGCTTGAGGCTGCAGAGAGGGGGAGGCAGATGCGAGAGCGGCAAATCTCAAGTGGCAGCAGAACCACGCCTTCCGGAGAATGGTCGGCTTCATCGGCTCCTCCTCCTCTGACGTCACCGACAGCTCCGGCGATCCCCCCACCCCCTCCCCCTGCCGCTGAAGCCTACACAGACGCCTACAGCAGTGCAAGTGACCGGAAGGGCAAAGGACCAACAAGGAAGTGGTGAAGAAGCTCGCCCTCTCTCCATCTTTATTTCTGTTCTTATTAAGTTTAGTTTAGCCTATGCCCGTCGGCTGAACTGTGGTGCTCTTTTGGTCTATGTTTGGAGTGTGTGGATTTCTATGCATGGATTATGTCGATTTCTATGTCTGTTTGTTTAATGTCCATTTGTTTCATTGATGATCTATGTAGTTTAGTTTCACGTTGCATGAGTAGTATGGATTTAGGGTACCGGATATAAGGTACATGGCTGGGACGCGTCCGCGGACATATCGGGTGCCGGATTTGGTATGCGTGGTTGTAGATGCTCTTAGCATACTAAAGTTGTTGGAGAGATACTAGAAAACATAGCAAAAATTAGACTGGCACAGTGGCTTACTCAATAGTTGTAACTACAAATGATGAGTTCCTCCTTTGGAGAACATTACAGCACAGTGCCACCAGGGGAAAAAGATATACTACAACTTGAGATATACTCTGAACTTTTATATTTCTTTACAGAGGGAGTAATTGTTAGTTGCAAGCACCTGAGTGTCTGAAAACAGTCCGTAGGGAGCTCAAGGTCCAGAGTAAAGATTTAAAACATATTGCGCAAGCTTTTTAGTATATGCAGCTTGCAATTTGCTGCCTTTATTGGGCTTACACTGAAGCAAAGCAGACGAAAACATCATTAGCAAGCAATGGGACTGAGATCTTAAGTTCTTGACTATTTGGTGTTCTAATTTACCCTAATGACTATAATTGAGTTATTACTGACTACCGCAACTGTAAATATATTAGTGAAAACTAATAATCCTTCAGTTACGATGTACTGAAAAAACCAGTGAAGTTTAGTGTATTTTCTTTTGAGCTCCACAAGGGGTTTCAATTTACTAGTCAGTGCTTCAGATTTCCTTTTATTTTGATTCATTGATTACTATTATGAGTGTCGCAACTTATAGGGAAACCTATGGCTGGTATTACATCAAAAGGATAGAGCATCTAACATGGTAGGTTTGTAAGAAAGTACTCCATCTTATATAGTACTCCCTTCGTCCCGAAATATAAGACTGTTTTTTGACACTATTATAGTGTCAAAAAACGTCTTACATTTCGAGACGGATGGAGTATTAGTTTACAGAGGAATAGCATAATCTTGTCAAGGAAGACTCGAGTTTCAAGGTGAATGTGACTGATGAGAAGCGTCGCTAAATCCTGATCTCAAGCACCAATTGGTCCATGTGTGATTGATGTAGAGCTGATCAGGAATGCTTCCCCTGTTAGTCCGCATTTACCCCCTTCTTGTAATAAAGTTTGGCTGTGAACTCCGTTGAGTACTTGGAACCTGCCTTGCCACCCAGGTATAGCCTGGACGATGTTTAACTGGCGTTTCTGCGGTTTGGTCTCATCAATAAAAATGGTGAAACCGGGAGGAGACCCCTTTTATTCAAAAAAAAAAAGAAGCGGCATATGTGTTTCCCATTCCCGAAATTTAGTACCATTAGCAGCCTGTTTGGTAAATACTTGGGCAAGGGTATGGGAGTTTGCACAAGGGTGTGTATAAAGGGATTAGGCATGGGAAATAGATTTTTATTCCCATTCCCTTGTTTGGCATATGATGGTAATTGGCGTGGGATAAAACTCTCCTCATGAATTAACAAGATACCCTTGGGAAGAAATCGGTGGGAATTGGCTTTCCCAACTCCCAGTCCCTTTCCCACTTAAACTCCCATTCCCTCTAATCAAACAGTAGATTTTTAATCTCCTTACCCCTCAACTCCCATTCCCCATCTCTAATTCCCCTAAACCAAACACGCTGTAGGAGGCAGAAAGAACAATATCAGCTGTGGCTTTGGTAAAAGCATGATCCAGTAGTTACTTCATATCTGGATTTCATTTTCATTGACATGCCTTGATGTTGTCCAATTCCATGTTGATGTCATTGGTTGCCAGTGTTTCTCTTTCTAGACAATGGAAGAATTCCAATGCATCAGGGACGCACACAGCCGAGGTTGCCTATTTCTGTTTTCCTTACCTGGGGAACTGGTTCAAATCAGGAGGGTTTCCTCTTCTAGACAGAAAAAAAGAAGAGAGAAACTAACAGAAAAATATTAAGTTGCAGCTTGAGAATGCCTCATTGCCGAAAGCTGATCAGCAAGCTAAGAGATATTACAGTGAACTGGGTCCAAAATCAGGAGACTACAAGTATCTCGGAACGACACAGTTCATGGTCACAATGGAGTACAAATGAGTACTGATTACTACAATAAGCACATGACTCGTATTAAATACTGAAGCCAGATGCTCAAGGATGATGTTTCACCTTGATCACGGCTAATGCCCTTTGTTTCCATTTTTCTTAGCAGCATCATGACAGAAACCTTTGCTGAAGTCTTCGATTACAATTATCACCTCTATTCTGTATCTGCAAGAAAAAGGCACCATTTCTGAATTTCTGCCAAATACTATGACTAAGTGAAATGATAAATACATTAGATAGGAAGCAAGTAGTATAAAAAACCTTCTACCTGTACAATGAGTTTCCGCATCTGCACTTTTATCAATAAGCTACTGCAACTTTCTCCCAGCACAGTACTATTAGACTACTCCTGTTTATCTTCACCTTCAACCACACCACTGTCATCAACCGTCACACCTTCTGCCTGATCATTAACCTTCAAGCCTTCAACTTCACCATCAGCCTTCACACTTTCTTTATCCTCCCGCCATCTTAGGATAACAGGCCTTTCCATAAGTTCCTATCAAACAAAGAAATAGAAACTTAAACACCATACTGTGTGCTTGTAGTGTAACATCTCTTCCATTTGATTTTATAAGTATGACAGGAAATAAGCCAGAAGACTCGTCTTATCATATAACATTGCGGTAAAAAGAAATTGGTCACTCAAGCAAGAGACCTTGTAATGTTTTTCGTAAATAGATATCTGGCAAAGCATTTCACTGCTGCTCCAGAGCAATTTTATCCTCCAGTGTACAACTCCAACAAATGAATCACAATATGGAAAAGAACAATACACTTAAGTAAGCCAAAAGAGGCATGCTAATTGCTCGTAAAAAATAAATGAAGATAAGACTAGCAAAGATTTCTAACTGTAGATAACAACAAGTCTGTGCATCAAGCATGACAGTTTAAATATCCCGCAGAGTTAATTTATGAATGATCGACCGCGGTCCTTGGCTAAATTGTAAAACTGATAATTAAGTGTTCATCAAAATTTCACCTTTCCATTGAGTTCAGTGAGAGCAGCCTCTGCTTCCTCTTTTGTTCCAAAAGATACAAAACCATACCCAGCTGATTTTCTATCTTCAAAGACTATATTGGCAGAAACTGGGTTAAACTGTGAGAAGAACTCCTTCAGATCAGCAGACCTTGCTTTCCATGCAAGATTGGAAACATAAAGCTTGTACTTCGCGACAATGGTGTCCGGAGATGGTGGTGGAGCTGGTTTTCTGAAACTCTTTGAAAATTCCACCTTGATGATCCTTCCCATGACATCCTACAAATGATTGTGATGCACAATTTAGCAAAGAGATTGATGAAAAAATCCCAAAGCTAAGATATACTCCCTCCATAACTTTTTATAAGACGTTTTTAGAATCCATGACAGTGTCAAAATACGTCTTATATTAAGTTACAGAGGAAGTATTAATTTTGCCGGGAATGCCAGCATCTTAAACCTCAAGATGTCAGTATTTTAAGATAAGCTCAGCTGAACTCTGTAACACACTGGACAGCAGACTGGTATTTTGTGCTGAATTCAAACATGAAGTAAGATCGCAGTAAACTCTTTTCATTCAACAAAAAAGATCATAGTAAACTTTTCTGTCCGTATGAAACAATATTCAAAAGTTGCAAACATTATTTAACTCATCCATGTATTTCAAGGCATCTATTCAGTAAGAACATTACAACAATAATATATAATGCAATCATCAAATGTGAACATGTCCATGCATATTCCACGAATCGCAAGTTCTAGCCTCATCACCCTTGACCTTGAGAAACTTACAGTGATTTTTCCGGTCCAAGGATGTGTGATAGCAGTAAACACATGGAAACAAAGGTCGAAGTCATCTTAATTTCAATTCACAGGTCAAAACAACATTCAGCACATTTTTATATAAGGCAGCATTCATCCACGTTTTGTGTACTGATATGCAGCATATAGACTCACATGGCCGTCGAACTTCTCCGCTGCGGCGGCGGCCTCTTCGGCGGTGGCCATGGTGACGAACGCGAACCCCCTCTTCCTCCCGTCCTTCATCTTGATAACCTTCGCGGAACAAAACAAAACTAGCCCGTGTCAGAGAACGCGCGCGGCAGCATAGGATTGAACAACTAAGCGTGTGGTGGCATCGTGTGTGTGTCACCTCGACGTCCTTGACGACGCCGCACTCGGCGAAGAGCTTCTCCGTCTCCGCGGCGGAGAAGGTAAACGGCATGTTGCCGACGAAGAGCTTCCGCCGCGTCTCCCCCAGCTCCTCGTCCCCCTCCGCGGCGGCCGCGGGCTCGGCGGCCAGCGCCTCCGGGGGCGAGGAGGCCGCGACGGCGGCGGCCGGGAGGCGGAGGCGGAGGCCGGGGTAGGCGCGGCGAGGGGAGTGGAGGAGCGGGGCGTACTGGGAAATGCGCCCCTGAATGCGGGGGGGCGGGAGGGCCGCCGCGGCGGCGGGGTGCGGGCTGCGCGCGAGGGAGAGCGCCATTGTTTCGCCCACCGGAGGCGGAGGAGAGGAGGCTGCGACGCGGGCGGTTTGTGTCCCGGGGTTTGGGATTGGAGGGAGGGGGACTGGAAATTTTCCGCCTGGTTTTGTGTTCGGATAAGCGAGCGCGGCTGGCGGGATAAGGGACGACGGCGATGGTTCGTTTGTTTCTGGTCGCGGCACCGCTTGCCGCTCTTGATCAGGCCTGCTTACAAAAGAGATTTTCCAGCCCATGCTGGCCGACTTTTTTTTTTTCTTTTCTTTGGCCTTTCTTTCGCCGTTCAAAATCGTTTTATATTTTTTTGACAGAATTTCTCCTCCTTTATTCAGATACGAGAACAGTGTTATCACTTACAAGTAATGAAAGCACCTCAGGAGGCGCTGAACCCAACCAACAACTAGGAGGGGAAAACTTAACTAGCCTAGCAAGTTCATGGGCTACTTTATTATTCTCTCTACTACAATGATCATAAATAACATGGTTGAAATCAGAGGCCATGAAGAAGCAATCGTCAATAATAGCAGATGCAACTGAAGAAGAATTGCCGTCTTTTAGGGCTTCTACTATCTCCAAACTATCCGAGTTTACCACGATCCTGCTGCATCCGACAGTTCTTGCGAGGTTCAGCCCAAACCTGACGGCCAGAGCCTCTGCTGTGAAAGAATCAAAGCAAATGCCTATTTTTTTCGTTCGCCGCTGCAATGAATTGTCCACTCTGATCGCGAATGATTGCCCCACGGATCCTTCAAGTAGATCTTGATCAAACCCCGCATTAACATTTAATTTCATGTATCCCTTTGGTGGCTTTTCCCAACCTTCAGACCGAAGTTTGGTTTTTGGTGAACATGCGATACTGAAATTTGCCGCTAGTCCGCGTACAGCTAGGACGATCTGAGTGGATGTTTGAATTTCTTCACCATGGTATACTTTACGATGTTCGAATCACAGGTACCAAGCCGCGGTGACTACCATCTCTCTCATTTTTTGGAAGCCCCGAGATATAGAATTCTGTATCTTCCACATGCAACAACTCGTGCATCACTTCCTCTCCAGACTTGTATTTTGTGCACTTTTTCTTTACTATCTCATACAACCCCAATTGTCTCCAAACCTCTACTGATCTTGGACATTCAAACAAGAAGCGGCGTATACTGTCAGGTTCCAACCTGCATTCTGGGCATTGGATTTTAACCTTCATGTGTTTAGAAGCTAGGACTACCCGACATGGAAGAGCGGCATGTAGTACTCGCCATATGAAGATTTTAATTTTTGCTGGGCATTCTAAGCTCCATATCAAATTCCATTTCTCATCAGGTGATGAAGGGCCCGCATTAACTTGAGTCAGGTCACCAAACTGAAAATTCCATTCAATTTGATAGGCTGATCGCACTGAGAAAAGCCCGTTCTTGGTAGGGCTCCATGCAATAAAATCAGACATTTCATGTAAAGATAAGGGTATAGCCAGAATCCTTTGAACATCCACATTCCAGAATGTTTGGTTCACCAACTGTACATCCCAATCTCCAGTCACCGGATCAATGAGATCACAAACTCGGGATATTAAGTTACTACCTCTGACAGTTAACACTTTTTTCGTTGGCGCTTGAGGAATCCACGAGTCCTCCCATATGTTCACCTTTTGACCATCTCCAATCCTCCAAATATATCCACGTCTCAACGTGTGTACCCCAGCCATAATGCTCTGCCATGTAAAGGATGATTTTGGCTTCAAAATCGTCTTATATTATGGGACGGATGAAGTAGAACCTAAGAGAATTTGAGACCGACTAACTAATGGTCACCTTTCGTGAGAGTTATGTAGCCTAAGAGCACGTCAAGTGGTGCGTCCAGCCGCCGCCACGTTTCACGTGATGGGTGCTCACTCATGATTTCATTCTTTTATTTTTTTTTCTATATGCATTTTTGTGTTTTAATGAGTTCTTTCGTGCTTTTTCTGTTTTTCAGTTTTTGCCTAATTTTTTCTAGGTTTGGAGGGAAGAATGGTGTTTTCTTGCGAAGCACGTCCGTGCTTCTTCAAGATATATATGTTTTCACGAGAGCATGATTGTGTTTCTCGTGCAAGCATATATTGGCTTTCGTAAGAAACATAGATGTGCTTCTACTTGAAAAAGGAAAAGCACCCCTTATGCTTCTATGAGAAGCACAACCTATGGTTTCCAAAAAGGGAAAACCGCAACCATGTTTTCAGGCTCTGGTTTTTTCTTCTTCTTTTTTCTGGTTTGGTTTTCATTTTTTTTGTTATTTTTTTCCAATTTTTAGTTTTTTCACGTTTCTAATTTTTTTGGTGAAAAAACATCTTTGAAACATATTAACTAGGATCAAGTTTTGAATATCTCGATGTGAGAAATCCCATGGTGAAAATGGTTCGGTATTTGGACACATGATTCAAGAAATAAAATATTTTAGATAAACGAATCTAGAAAAAAAATCCTAATTGTGACAAGTGACAAATATGCAGTGCGTCACTTGTCAATACCTGGGAAGGTGCAGGTTAACTTGGCAAGGGATAACTCTTAACTAGTGATTTCAAGAGAATTGTAAGCCCCAATGAAAATGAGAAGCTAGAGTGGCAAAACCCAGTCTGTGCTAGAAACACACTCATGAGCAAAGCACAAATGTTGTTTATGGCTTGTACAATAGCTAAGCTTAATGCTCACAAGTTATATGTTTCTCGTGGGTACGCCCATGAGTGGTTTTGTGAACACAAACACTCGGAGGTTGGGGGCGGACCAATCCTATG